AGACTACTGACAAACAAGCGAGCCACTAGTGCCGTAAAAACATAAAAAGTAAAAAAAAAATGTTACACCAAAGGTTAAATATCACTAAAGAGTGTTAATATCACTCTTGGTGGAGTTGATAGTTAACTCTTGTGTGTTGTCAAATCAATTCTAATCTAGTTCAGAATGACACTGAACGAATTTACTAACAGTTAACACTGGAGAGTAAAACAACTCTGTTAAGTGTTGATATAACATGCTACAGTGTTGGTTAATTTACTCTCTTGCAATGAAAAATAAACTCATACAGAGCAAAAATTTAACACTGTAGTGTGATAAAGTTTAATGCTCTGCAAATAAATCTTAGTGTTAAATTAACATTGAATCCATTTTTTGTGTGATTATCCTACATGCAGAGGACATAAATTTGTAAAACTTAAAAGTTTTCACAAAATATTGCATTCAAGAACTTTATTAGCGGCAATAAACTACTGTATGTAAGGCTAAAATACTGTCTCAAGCATTTTAAATACAATATTTAAAACATTGACCTCATGTTGGCATGAAATGGCAATATGGAACAACATACAAAGAGGAATCTGTCGTACTATACTTGAGTTGTATATCAAATCACCGTGTAATGATAACATCCCCACTGTGTTGCTGCACATTATTGGTCAGCTGGCTGAAAGACAGGGATGGAAGGAGTACCCAAAAATTATGCTCAAGCAAAAATAGCACCTCTTCAACATTTCTTACTCAAGTACTAAAAGGAGGCATCTAAGAAATGTCATACCGTGAGAAATGTATGTACGATAGAAAAGAAAGAACTTTTTCAGTCAATATCTGCTGTTTATTTGATCTCTCAAAAGTTACTCAGTGGACAAAGTAGCAGACATTTTTCTAAACTACAAGAAGAGCTAGTAGGAACAAAATAATAAAACTGCTTCTAAAAGTATGTTTTCAAGATTCGGCTGAGTAAATCTAACCGTTTCTCCCGCCTCTGCTGAAAGAACAGATGGTGGTACTGTACGATTCTGAGTCCATCAAACATACATTTATGATGTACAAACTGCAATAACACAACTTATAACCCTAAATAAGTAATGTGTCATTACAGTTGTAGCAATTCAAAACATTACTGTACAGTTTTATAGCCTTGTTTAGATTTGGTTGCTATGAAATCAGCTGATTGATCTATGCAGAGGCTTATAGTCATAATTTCTGTTTAAATGAAATTTAAAATTGAACATGCCTTTTACTTGAACATTTTCTTAGGTAGCTATTCTCTCTATCAAGTATAATTATTTACCCACATATTGTTTTTTTTTTTTTTTTACAAGCTTTTGAACTGACAAAAAAAAAATAAGGTTTGTTTATCATGAATTTATCTGTTAAGAGGTTCTTTTTTATTTGGTTATATGAAAATATCAATATTTGCATAGTTTATCTAGTAAAATAATTTAGAAATAATCTAATCTGATATTAGGATATGTCCTCTTGTAGATTCTTTAGCAAATACCTTTTACTTCAGACACCTTTGGGATGACAATTTTGTAAGGACAGATGAGGAGAAAGCCAATATTTTAAGTTGCTACAGCAGTAGAATGAGAATGTGCAGTTTTTCTCTATTAGAAAATTGTTTTATTCCGAATTTTATATGTTTTTATTAAAGGACAATCTAATACTTTGCCTTCTTATAAACTAACAGTTGTCAAGTTCATCACATGTAAAGTGATTTCAATTATTTTCTTCCTATAATTATGATGAGTTAGTTGGTACATTTCTGCTTCAAAACCTCTCTTTGGATCAGGAATTTATGCCAAAATCCTGTCGGGTCTTTTATTTTGAAATTCGAATCCAGAACTTTGCTTCACAGATTAAGTAACTTGACAGGAGAGCTGAAGCCTGAGAAGTGGGAGGCTTTTTTCCCCCTTCTCCTCCCAAACTTTTCTTACCTTCTCTAAAAGTTCTGACCAACCTCAGTGTGACTGGCCAGAGACAACCAGAAGGTAAGCACTGAGCCCTCTGGATCTGATCTGCTTTGCTTTGCTTCTATCAGTTCATTACTTCCAATCTAAATGTTTAAAGTTGGGACTTTTCTGCAGAAAAGCCACATAGTTTAAAGCTCTTTTATTATTATTTTCTTATATCTATCTTGTTGTACTAACCTTATCTCACCAAATTTGACTCTAATTAATGATATCCTGTTTGCAGTTTGTGACACATTTCTTTAAGTATCTAAATGCCCTGTTTGAACATTCATAGTATGTAGTGACTGACTTCCTAAAAACTGCCTTATAAATAAAGAAAAGCAGATGTTATTCTATTTTTTAGTCCCTACTTTGAAAAGTCTTTAACATATAAAAAGTTGTGTTTTAGGGGTGCATGGAGAAATCTTATAAAGTCTATAATCATATATCCAGCAGCGGATGTGGATTTTAAGCATCCTTAAACCTATTTGTAATCTGTTATTCCTTTGAATTCTTCTTGCTCTATATTTTCAACCTCAGATCAACTTAAGCTTTTTAATCTTTTTCCTGCAGAGAAGCTCATGAAGCTTAAGCATTTTCCTTGAATGTAAAGTAAATGTAGAGCAGATTTGGAGGAAACATCTATTTTTTTTCTCAAACACTGTTGTGGGTGAGGCAGCTTCATGGGACGGAAATCCCCCCCTTCCCAACTTCCACTGTTGTCAGAGTTGTTAAACACTCTCCCAGTTTTCTGGCTGGCCTCCTGTCTATTATTATGGATTGCAAAATTCCTTCTTATGTCCCATTCAAACTTTTGAATACATTTCCAATTCACACAAGGTCTAAATTAAGTGGATGAAATGACTGAATATATATATATATATATATATATATATATATATATATATATATATATATATATATATATATCAATTAGCCATGACCTTGGCAGAACATTTATTGGATAGATCAACCCTGCTATTTGCAGAATTGGTAGAATCAGCTGGCACAGACCCATTTAAAGCATACAGTACATGCTATACAGGACTGAGATCAAAGCTCTACTTTAGTTCATTCAAAACCAGATTAATGTTTGTTTGGGTTCAATGTCTTAATTCTGTTCAGGTTTTAATCTTCTAACCTAAAACTTCTCCAAACAAACACCAAGGTTCATCCCTGATGTGAATTAGGAGATCCTGGACGAAGAGCTTCAATAGTCATAGCAACTCCAGCTTAACATCCATATGGACTTAGAGGTTATCAACCAAAAAGACCTTTGCTTCAGTGCAATTGAAACCGAGCTGAGAAAAATGTCTTCTGGTGAAAGGTTTTTAAGGCTATAGATGATTTGGTCAAAATGACATTAAATGTGTTTAAAGGTGTGTTGGTTATCTTTTGAAACCTAAGCAAACTGTATTAGGTGGCCACATCATGCTGTTTGAGAATAAAAAGTCCACCCACTAAAATCTGAATCCTTAAACAATCTTGATGGTTTAACCTTTTGGTCAAAATAGAACCTTGAGCTCAAACTCACTTACTATAAACAATGATCAGGCTTTTCTTACTGTAACTACGCCACAAAAATATGTTCTTATATAATTGATTACTTTATTAATCGTACGAAGAACAGTAGAACAGTAGTTGTTGAACTATTCCAGAGGCTTCTTGAAGCAAACAGAAAGTTCCTTGTTTCCAAATGTTAAAGTGTGTATTTGAATGCATTTTAGCCTGCATGTATGCTTTTAATCATATATGCATCATCTAATCTTTAATGAATTTAAAATTTAAAGGTGCTCTCTTTGTATTAAAGGTCTATGCTTTGAAAAAGGCATTTAAAAAAACACCATTAAAAAGCCAGGAATAAGTTTGAGTGTAAGATATTAACTTGTGTAATGTTTTGATTAAAGGAGGTGATTTAGTGGACCAGACTACACCAGGTCCCTGCCAGTGTCAGCAAAGAGGCTGGTGGCTGAAGTGCTTTTTAAACCAATGAATGAGGTGGCATTTTCTTCCTCTTAGTAATGATGGTGATGATATAGAGCCTACAGACACAGCTTTGGATGTTCAGTCTGGAGCCTCTGCCTGATACAACAGAAAAACATCCTTCTTGGTTGTATTAGTGTTGATGTGTAATGATGAAATATTATGTTGAAGGTTATATTTATAGTATTACATTTGTGCTGTTTGTTGAAATCGGGGTTTTATACCTGAGCAGTAACCAGTGGAGCAAAGATGTATCTTTTTTCTCAGCACTAAAAGTCTGAAAAGGGGTTAGTGTTTGAAATACTTAAGGATTGACCTTAGATTAAAGCTCCATCCATGGCTCTGTTTCCTATTCATCCTGTTGATGTGATGTACACATAGCAGCAGTTCATATGGGAAGGAACTCTGTGTGATGACGATACATTTTCGTAATCATGATATCAACATTCCTCCCACAGCTTTTTGATTTTCCGCTACCCCCTTATTCATACTAATTTTGGCTCAGTTGGACCACAGCATTTTACTCTGATGTTTGCAGTTTGTTTACTTAGTGACAGTAAGGTACTGGTTTGTCACTAATCTATCCCAAATAAAGGATAAGATTACACAGTACCTCTTACCGGGAAATCAAAATTAGTTTTTGCATCTTTATTGTGTTTAGTGGATACATTTTCAGAAGGTTTTGGGCGAGGACTCTCCAGAGGCTTAATTTAGGCCTGATTCATTCATTCATCTTATTAACAATTCGTTACAAATCTCATGTCATGGAACTTGTGTGTTTTCCATGTATGGATCTATTGTATTTGTTATATTTGCATCTCTAATACTAATACTAGAGCAAGTATGTGGGGACAGTGGGAAAAAAATCTGTGGAAATTTCAGCAAAACCATCATGGTCCTATTGGAAAATAAAGTTTAGGCAGAGATGGTAAATATTTGTGATGTTTCATATTGTTTATGCCATGCGTCATACACTGTAGCAAACCATCCAAATAGCCAAATGTTACAGTGCTGTGCTTCACATTTTAAAGGTGTGATCTTGACTCCAAACATTCCTCTTTGCATGGCTTTAAAAGTGGATTTTTTTTGGCTTTGCTAACCATAAAAAAACCTTTCTTTATCATGATCGCAGTATCCTTTTGAATCTGAAAAAAGAAAAGAAGAGAAAAGACAATTAGGAGAAATTTATTGATACAGTTACATTGTCTTTGGCGCTCAGACCTCGGCAGGAAACATAGCGCTTAATTTTGATAGATATGCATGAACAGGAGCAAAGAATAGGGCCGTTTCCCCCCCAGGCCTGAAACTGGTGGTGGAGTGGAGAGAGATGAAGTTGGTCAGTCTGTAGACTGCTGGTTAGCGAGACGGTATGCTGAGCTTCATGGGGAGATCCAGTGGACTGGCTGAGCTGATACTAGAACTTCACTCAGACACCTGGAAAATGGAAGTCCAGTTTGGATAACACAGGTTGAAAGAACCTGTCCATGATGAGCAAGCATGAAGCAACAGTGGAGAGGAAAAACTCCCTGTTTGGAAGAAACCTCTGGCAGAACCAGGCTTAACATGGCGGTCTTTTGCCGGACCGGTTAAGATGAGACAGGGAACGCAGTCAGAGTCCGGGAGGAATGACACTAATGAAGCTTTAGTGACGATGGTGGAGGAGGGGATGGAGGTGGGTTGAAACGGTGTCATTTGAATGAATTCACACAGCGCATCCACCGTCTGCCCACAGGAGCAGATAAGAGCGGATCGGAAGACTTTTAAGATGAACTTTGGATGCCGGTTGGCTTTCGTGGAGGTGTGGTTTAAAGCTGATTGGCTGTGTCGCAGGTGGATGTAGGAGACCATGAGTTTCTTCAGTTGAACTTCCGCCTAAGCTCCATTTTGGCAAGTGGCTTTTAAATTTTCTAACAGTGTTCCTACTATTTTAGCTCCGTTGAACCTTATTGTTCTGCTCAGCGGTGATATCGGTATTTTCTGTTTTGGCCTCATAGTTTGTGATATGGTGGTGATTAATCCATCCATCTATTGTCTTAACGGTATATCGGTCATTTGGAGTGAGGCAGGTCACACCCTGGACTGGTTGGCTCACTAATTGCCTTTTCCCAAAGAGAAACCTACAAAGTGATCTCAAAAACACTTTTTTTTTAAACCAGAATTTAAAGCATTAAAAAATGCCTTGCAGTAATACATTGCCTTTTTATTTTACATTTAAACAATTTTATGATTTTATAAATCATTTTATTCCTAAATTTCCCCATTCAGGTCCTTATTAACCAAGAGGAATAATGCAATAACTGGTTTGGATGGCTTGTTTCCATTTTCAAATAATCAGTTTGATTAAATGGATTTTATTTAAATAAAAACATTAAATACTGATAAAACACTTCTAGGTTATTAATGAGCTGATTAATGAGTTGAGGGAAAATAGTTTTTATGTGGAGCTCTTAACAGCTTTCAGAAGGTCCCTCAGGGGGAAATTGTCTTCCTGCAACAGGACTCTAGGGTTTGACTTACTGCTGCAGCCTCAAAAATAGCTTCCCTGAAAGTTTAGTCTGAGGTGTCTGCAGGTCAAATTCACAATCTGTTTCTCCAATTCTTTTAATGCAAACATCCACCCCCTTCCTGCCTCGTGCATTCCCAGCTTATTTACACCTCATAGTTACTGGAGGACACTTTATTTAATCAGGGTAAAATCAAATCTGAGGGTGTGCTCGTGAGTCCTGTAGCTTGATAAGCTGCATGCCTTCATATTTTTAGCTTTATTACAAGTCGTTTTAATTTTAGCAAGTCTGAGAGTTGGTCTGTGCATTGCTGTGACATGATGCAGTGAGGACAGAGAGCGCTGGTGTCAAGACTGATATAAAGCTGATGTTTTCAAAAGAAGTGGGCAACTTCTCAATGCTGCATTAAGAATAAAAAATAAAAGACTGGCTGGGTAACGTTCTGGGTAACGTTCCACATATCAGGACCCAAAAAACTTGATCTTGGTTAACCAATTTCTGCGTAAATGGCAATTAAAATTAGACAGTACTTAAATATGATCATTTTATAAT